TCCATTTTCTGCATGTTTTGGTTTTGAGACCAAAATCACTGAGAGCAAAGCTTCATAAGCAAGGGATTCATGGACCTATCTCCTCATTTCTACTTTGGTAATATCCACAAATCAAGACCCTTTTACTCCAACAACAAACACAACTCAAACAACAACAGAGATGAACATGTTCCTGTTCCTGTTCCTGTTTCAATATCTCATTGCTGGACTTCAAATTTGTTCCTCATATTCACAAGTTGGAGAAAACAATACGGTTAACTACTCTCTCTCCTTTCCCATACTTATTTCTTTTGAGAATACAGAAACAAATCTAAACTTCCAATGGATTTTTGTGATATCTGAGTTTGATACTTAATAGTTATGTTGTAGAAATGTTATATAGTTTTTGAGATTCTTCCAAAATGTGAAATGATTAGGTTAGCAGGGTTTTGGTTTGGATTGCATAACTTGTTACCAAATCCAAAATTTTGGTTCATTATGGAAAAATTGTAACGCTTCGGTTTGGATGGCATTTTATAATAGTTCGGTCAGTTCAGTTTTCTGACAGAACTATACCATGAAAGACCCTAGCATTTTCAATTTCATTCATAAAGAATCAAGTTCACAATTATAACATGAGTTAGTCTTATGGAATCCAACACAAGTTTCCGTCAAGATTCTCCCACACAACGTGTCCTTAGCTCCCAAAGTCGGAACCGTTTTTAAGTTTTTTTGGAGGTCCTAGGACCGTGACAAAAACACCAAGGGTTCTATTTAATCATGATTTAACCATGATCAATATATTATGAAGTCCTATTTATCTACGATTTAACTGTAGAAAATTTGAGCCCCTATATTGTAGCCCACTTTACACACCCTCAAAGACGGTTCTATCCAGAATTCGGACGAAAGATAAGTTATGCTGTTAGTTTTAAGTACAAGACTCCGATTTTAATTTAGTACATGCAGGTTCAATATATTTGTTTTCTTCTGGGAGTATACAATGGTTAATGGTGGCAGATATGGAGATGGTGAAAGAAATCCTCTTAAACACCTCTTTGAATCTAGGGAAGCCTTCTTATCTTTCCAAAGATATGGGACCACTCTTAGGCCAAGGTATATTATCATCAAGTGGGCCAATTTGGGCTCATCAGAGGAGATAATCGTGCCGGAACTATATCTAGATAAGGTGAAGGTAAGAGTATGCAATCGTAACGGTATTGCTGTAATATACAACTAACTACTTATAAATGTTGATTAGAATTTAGAATAGCTTTCTAACAATTTTCTTTTTATGTAAATAATGTTGAAGGCAATGGTTGATCAAATAGTTGACTCAACAAACATAATGCTGAGATCTTGGGAGAGTAGAATAGAACGAGATGGAGAAGTTTCGGAGATTAAAGTTGATGAAAATCTGCGAAGCTTATCAGCTGACATAATCTCTAGAGCTTGTTTTGGGAGCAATTATGCACAAGGAAAGGAAATATTCACCAAGATTAGAGATCTTCAAAACCTACTCTCCAAGATATCTGTTGGAGTTCCGGGGTTTAGGTATGCGTTGTAAATCGATAAGAGACATTTTCTTGTTCTTGTTAGATATGAATATGATACTAATGTGGAAAATGTTATCATAATTTGTTTTAGATATTTTCCAAACAAGAGCAATAGACAGATATGGAAATTAGAGAAAGAGATCAACTCAAATATATCAAAGCTCGTCAAACAATGCCAAGACGAAGGTCACGAGCAAGATCTCTTGCAAATGATACTCGAGGGTGCAAAGAATTGTGATGACCTCTTATCAAGTTCAATCTCGCAAGATAGGTTCATTATCGATAACTGCAAAAATATATTCTTTGCTGGACATGAAACTACTGCCGTTACTGCATCATGGTGCTTAATGTTGTTAGCTACATACCAAGATTGGCAAGACCGTGCTCGTGCAGAGGTGCTTGAAGTTTGCAGAAATTGTAATCTAGATGCAAGTATGCTTAGAAGCATGAAAACGGTATGCTTGATAATATTTTCAAAGCCTGTTTATCATTCTTATGGATTAAGTAAAGATCTTCTATAAAAACGTTGTAATTCGCAGTTAACCACGGTGATTCAAGAGACATTGAGGCTTTATCCACCAGCAGCTTTTGTTGTCAGAACAGTTTTCCAAGATATTAACATAAAAGGAATCAAAATTCCAAAAGGAATGAATATTCAGATTCCAATCTCAATATTGCAGCAAGACATCGGACTTTGGGGTTCCGATGCCTACAAGTTCAACCCCGAAAGATTTGCGAATGGCGTGCTTGGAGCCTGCAAGATTCCACAGGCTTATATGCCGTTTGGAATCGGTGCCCGTGTTTGTGCTGGACAGCATTTTGCTATGATGGAATTGAAGGTGGTTTTGTCTCTTGTCCTGTCAAAGTTTCGGTTCTCTCTTTCGTCAAGTTACTGTCATTCACCGGCGTTTCGTTTGGTTATAGAACCTGGTGAGGGAGTTGTTCTCAACATGACAAGAATTTAAGCAACAATGACACACTAAAATGATGCTTCACCCCATGTTCTTTGGGGCTCCTTTTTGGTTTTTTTTTTGTTGAGAATGTTGTTATAGTAATAAGACAAACATTTTTCTTCAAATGGATAATGGAATATATTTAGTTATTTTCTACCATTGGGATGTTTAAGATTGTTTTCATCATATTGATTATGCTCCTAACTCTTTCACAACATTCCTTTCATGTGATATTCCTTGTGGCCTTACTATTTAATGGCATAGCTGTTCATACCGGTTGAGGTTTAATCGTTCTTTAGGATATCATAGCCGCATTGAAGTAGGAACTCTGAATTGAGGATTTTGGCATAGTATCATGGCCGCATTGAAGTAGGAACTCTGAACAATTGAAGATTTGCATAGTATCATAGCCACATTAAAGTAGGAACTCTGAACCCATTAAGAATTTTGCATAATATCATAGCTGCATTTTGAAGTAGAAACTCTGAACCAGTTGAGGATTTTACATAGTATCATATCAATTTATCAAAATTAGAGTGATTCATTCAATTTTATAAAGATTTGCCACTTCTTAAATCACAAGGGATTAAGAGTGTAAGCGATCATACACAAGCCAAGATACAATACAAACAAAATCAGAAGAAAAAAAAGTTTTGATTCTTGAACAATTCCAAACAAAAAGTAAGAATGAATTATGATATTTCAATTTCTAAACTTTCTTGAAAAATGTTGATTTTAAGAAAAGAAGAGAGACATTAACAAATATTAGTTTGTAATGGGATGCTTTTCATTGATTCTTGATCTGATATATATACACGTATATGGTTGAATATAATATCTAATCATTCTAAATATAGTTGTCTAATATTAAATCATTTCCATATAAACTGATGCTAAGAATAGTAAAATGAAGATATGTGCAGCTAATGTCATAATGTGCTGTTATGACATTATCTTCACATAATGTGATGTTATGACAGCATCTTCATGATATTATTTTGGCAAGATATCAGTTGCCTAAGATCCCCCCCTCAAGTTGGAGCATGCAAATTGTGGATGCCTAACTTGTTTAGAAAGTAATCAAATTGTTGTTTTCCCAATGCTTTAGTAAATATATCAGCAAATTGAATATTTGTGGACACATGGTGAGTTGAAATGTTGCCGTTGAGGAGTTCATCGCGTAAAAAATGACAGTCAAACTTCGATGTGTTTTGTGCGCTCATGGAAAAACTGGATTGGCAGCTATATGCAATGCCGACTGACTATCACAATGTATCTTCATGGGGCGAGATTGAGAGATGCCAAGGGAGAGTAAAAGTGCTTTCAAACCATTTGAGTTCACATGTCGTAGTAGCCATGGAACGATATTCTGCCTCAGCAGACGAACGAGAGACAACCTGTTGCTTTTTTGGTTTTCAAGAGATAGGTGAGTTCCCAAGAAAAACTATCCATCCAGTAAGAGAGCGCCTTGTTAAAGGGCAGCCTGCCCAATCCGAGTCACACCAGGCGTTAATTTGAAGATCACAATCAGCTTGGAGAAGAATACCTTGGCCGGGATTTCCCTTGAGATAACGAACAACACGAAGGGATGCATTCAGTGTTCTTCTAAGGGCTTTTGCATGAATTGAGCCAAAATATGAACCGAGTAAGAAAGTTCAGGTCTAGTGACAGTTAAGTAGAACCAAACGACCTACTAGTCTTCGATAGCGATCCGGATTGAAAGTGGAGTTCCAATGGCCAAGGGAAGATGGTGATTTTGATCTAAGGGAAAACCAACAGGCTTAGCACCTAACAATCCAGCTTCAGTAATGATGTCAAGTGTGTATTTTCGTTGGCACAAGAAAATTCCTTTGGAATTGCGAGCCACCTCAATGCCAAGAAAATATTTTAAAGGGCTCAAGATCTTTCATATGAAAGCATGTGTTCAAGTAGGATTTGAATGACTCAATTGCTTTGTTGTTGTTTCCCCGAAATGATAAGGTCATCCACATAAACTAACACATACAACTCTACACAGTCACGATGTAGAGTAAAAAGAGAGTAATCAGAGTAGGACTGTGTGAAACCATTACAGTTGAAGTGCGTTTTTTAGTTTGGCAAACCAACACCGAGTGCCTGTTTCAAGCCGGGGGGTAATTTCATATACACTTCTTCGTCAAGCTCACCATGTAAAAAAGCGTTATGAACGTCCATTTGATGAAGTTCCCAATGTTTTGCAGCAGCAACAGCAAGAAACGTTCTCACAGTTACCATTTTCACAACTGGAGCAAAGGTTTCATGATAATCCAACCCCTCAACTTGGTTGTTCCCCATAATAACGAGCCTTGCCTTATAGCGTTCAATAGTTCCATCTGAGTGATATTTAATTCGATACACCCATTTACTGCCGATAGCCTTTTTGTTTGGAGGAAGTGTTTCTACTATCCAAGTCCCATTATTTTCAAGAGCCTCAATTTCAAGTTGCATGGCATTTCGCCATCGATATCTTTGACAGCTTCAGCAAAGCTTTGTGGTTCTATGGCTGCAGAAACAGCGGCTAAAAAATGCCTGTGCTGTGGTGAAAAGTTAGCATAATTCACATATTCGGATAAGGGATAGGGTGTACCTGAAGGACGTGACGGAGCGATGGAACAGTTTGAGGGGCATATCTTAGAGATGGTATTGGTCACAAAGTCTTGCAGCTTGGTAGAAGGAATCTTGACACGATGGCCAAGTCCCAAATTTTCGACTGTATCAGTAGTAGGCGAGTGTCTTCATTGAATTCAACAGCTGGTGGTATGTCATGAGACTCAGGTGAAGAGGATTCAATATGAGATACAATTGGAACAGCTGGTAGCATGCATTTGATTCATCATGATCATGTAACCTTGTAGTTTCAACTGCTGGAGCTGAAAGGACAGCAGGTATAGTAACTAACAACGCTGAAGGGGATCATCTTCAACAATATTTTTATTGAAAGGGACATCGGGCAAGGTGTGGTCATCTTTACATGCAAGTTGGCGCGGTACAATTTCTGCAGCAGAACGGAAACTTATCTTCATAGAAAACCACATCTCTTGAGTTAAAGAAAACACCCAGCTCCAAGTCATACATACGCCATCCCTTGGTGCCATTAGGATATCCAACAAATGCACACTTGCGACTTCGACTAGCGAATTTGTCACCCCTTATGATGTTGATTATGTGCATAAGCTAGGCAGCCAATGACACGAAGGTGCTCAGAGAAGGAGGCCTACCATACAAGAGTTTCAAATGGAGTTTTACCATCTAAATTTCGTGTAGCAGTTCGATTAATCAAGTAACATGCAGCAAGATCACATTCCCCCCAAAATTCAATTGGAAATTGGGCTTGAAAGCGCAAAGCACGAGCGACATTAAGAATGTGCTATGCTTACGCTCTACTCTTCCATTTTGCTGTGGTGTTCCAACACATGAAGTTTCATGAATAATACCCACGATCACGAAAGTTGGTTTCATACAAGTGAATTCAGTTCATTATCGCTTCGAATTATCTTTACATGTGTACTAAATTGTCGTTCAACCATTGCTAAAAATTGATAAGATATCTAGAGACTTCAGTTTTATCAACAAGAAGATAAATCCACACTGCTCTCGAGAAATCGTCAACAATAGTTAAAAAATATCTAGCACCGCAAAAAGTATCATATCGATAAGGCCCCCATAAATCACAATGAATTAAATGAAAACGAGTGGCTGCTTTATTTTCACTAATAGGGAAAATTGGCTCGTGACTGTTTTGCTCGAAGGCATAGTGTCACAAGTATGAATATATAAATTATTTTTGCTACCCGGGGCTAACATTTGGAAGCGTTTGCAGAACTTTCAAAGATGCATGTCCTAGTCTTTGATGCAACAAATCCAAAGATACCTCTTTATTAGTCTTCATTGCAGCCGCCTTGACAATCCCTTTAAGATAGTATAGCCCCTCTCTTTGTTCACCCGCTCCAATTCGGCGTCCTCAAAGTGGGGTCCTGTAGAAGACATGAATTGTCAGTAAATAGGACAGTGTAATTAGAATTTTTCAGTAGTTGTGACACTGAAATAAGATTGCATTGCAAACTAGGCACATATAGAACATTTTTTAGTTGCAGCCTTTCATTGAGCACCACATTTCCTTCTTTGGTGGCCACTGTCTCTTCACCATTTGGGAGTCCTATAGAGCACTCAAAGATGTTGTGTATATTGGTTAGGCAGTCCAATTGACCAGTCATATGGTGTGAAGCACCTGTATCAATAATCCTGGCAAGAAGGAACACTTACCATTGAGCTTCTCAGTTGAATGGTGTGAAGCACCTAGTTTGACATTGTTTAAAAGGCTAGCTAGTGTTTGCAATTGATCACTAGTAAGGCCGAAATCAGCCTCTGGAACATCAGTAGTGATCTCTTTTGTTGCCGCGCTTTTGCTTGTGCTATGTGAGCCTTAGCGGTACCTCCTCGATTTCTGTTATTAGATCGTTCTGGTTTCCCGCGTCCAGAACCCTTCATTGGTCCACGTGGTCGATCTCCCCACCATTCAGATATCCTATGAGTTGAAAACAACCTTCTGAATCATGCCCAGTTTGATTGCAGTGATTGCATAATCTTCCTCCTCTCCTTGTGTTTGACATTTGAGTGTACTGCAAATGCCATTGCTTCACCACGTTCTTCTGTCACACGAGTTATTGTGCGTAGTCGTTCCTCTTGCACCAGTGTTGCGTACACTTTGTTTAGTGTAGGTAGAGGATCCTGGGCAAGAAGATTAGATCGGACTGTCCCGTAGAGAGTATCATCCAATCCCATGAGAAATTGGTGAACTTTCTCCTCCTCATGTTTCTTTGTAATTTTATTGCTGATATTGCACGTACACAATCCGCACTTGCATGTCAGAATCTGATCATAGTTCACTAATTCTTCCCACAATTTTTTCAGTTTGCCATAGTATGTCACAATGGTCAAACCTTTCTGCTTGCATTCAACTAGTTCAGCTTTTGAGTTGTTGAATACGTGGTCCA